TTTAAAGGTTTAACTAGATTAATTAGGTTAACTAGGCAGGTTAGGGTAATTAGGCAAGTTATTGTATGACAGTAGATTGTTCTGTAGATTATCAAAAAAAAAAAAAAATTGCTTAAAGGGGCTACTAATTTTGTCCCTAAAATGGCTGTTAAAAAATGAAAAACTGCTTCTATTCTAGCCGAAAAAACAATTTGAAATATTGTTTTTTTGCAGTCATGACAATAAAGTCATTTGAATTTGAGAATTTTTTTCGTATCACTTGATAATTTTAATTATTAAACAATAGCATATTACAGCTTTTATTATCATTATTAAAAGAGCCACATTTAGCTTTTTTTGCCAATGGCCTCATTATTTATTTGTCTGTTCAACTACATAAATAGCCATCTTTGATATACAATTATCCCAAAAGATGAACTGAAACTTCAACTTAAAGCCTTTTTCATGGAAAACACAGAGAGAAAGACTTTGGCTTTTTCCTCCAGAGCTAATGAACGTCACCCCAGCAGCGCAGAAACATGGTCGTGGTTTTTATCACAACACACACACACACACACACACCATGGAATTGCAACACAGCGGAATCACAGACATTCCGGCTCCAGAAGGGTTTATCAAATTAAAGGAATGTTCTGGCTTCAGGACGAGTTAAGCTCCATCAACAGTGTTTGTGGCATCATGTAGAAAACAGTCACAACAACAATAACAACTGCACTATCACTGATTATCAGAGGATGCTTTAAGACTGCTGAGATATTTCTCTAATATATACATTGCACTGGCAAACTGAACTGTCTAATAAGAGGTGATGGTTATTGTTGATTTACATGTAAAATAATTCATTAAAATACTTACTTGTTTTTTAGCTTCCAATTAACCTTAACCAATACAACATTACAAAATGACTCAAAATAAACGAGTATAAATAGAGCAAGAACATCATGTAAGGAAGCATCAATTAATAAATGTGTATGTTGTGTAAAAGAATTGAATGCATGTTTCTAAACAGTAAAAAGGGGAAATTAAAAGAAACATTAAAACAAATAAATTAATAAATACTATTGTTGTTAATAGAAACATTTTAAAACATTTATTAATTAACTAAAATATATATTTTTTAATTACTCAAAATTAAACAGTACAAAATATTGCATAAACAACAAAAAACATGAATTTATAAACTACTTAAAAAATTAAAAGAGGTAGTTATAATAAAATTATATATATATATATATATATATATATATGTGTGTTATTTTTTTTACTTGTTTCAAATAAGTATAACTGAAATGGTTTTACAAAATTACTCAAAATAAAAGAGTAAAAATAGTGCAAAAACAACATACAACGTATGAATTGTACGTATGAATGAACGTATGTTTTATTTTAAAAATGGGGATTTATTTAAAAAATATTAACACATTAATGTAATAAATACAAATAAATTGTCATTAACAAAAAACTTTTTAAAAATCTGTTACTTAAATAAAATAATTTTTTTATAATATTTAATTTTTTTCCATTAGCTTCCATGGCAACTTGTTTCAAATAACTATAATTAAAAGATTTTAACTAAAATTAATAAAAAATAAATGTATAAATAATGCAATAACAACATTAAAAAAAACACACAAATTCATAAATTATAAAAAGGGGGAAATTATAAAAATATTAAAATAATACATTTATAAATCCTATTCTTGTTAATAAAACATTTTTTTTTAAATCTATTGTTTAAATGAAAATAAACATTTTTCTATTCACTGGCATGGTAACTTGCTTCAAATAACTATAATAATTCAAGCATTTTAATAAAACTTCAATAAAGTAATTTTAAAAACAACGTTAAAAATGTAACATTAAAATCAAAACCAAATTTTAAAAAAACAATAAATAAATACTTTATGTATATTCATTCATTTTCCTTCGGCTTAGTCCCTTCATTAATCAGAGGTCGCCACAGCGGAATGAACCGCCAGCTTCCATCTGCAACCCAGTACTGGGAACCACCCATACACACTCATTTACACAAACACTCACACACTATGATTAATGTAGTTGATCAGTTCCCCTATAGCGCATGTGTTTAAACTGTGGGGTCAACATGGGTCTCAGGACTCGAACTAGCAATCTTCTTGCTGTCTAACCACTGAGCCACCTACTATACATTTACAACTTTATAAATTAATTAAAAAAAACACTTTGATCACAAAACTCCCAATGTTTTTCCTAACGGATGGCTATCATTCCCATATTTCTACGCATTTCAGTCTCTTCTCAAACAAATCAGATCACAAATCAAATCTCTTCAGCACAAATGAGTGTGAGGAAGTCTGTCCTAAAGCCTGGGATTCTCCGACCCGCAGTAAATAATGAAACCAACTGCTCCGCCTAAGAAAAAAAATCCGACTGCCACCAGACCAGCTTTTTTGGGGGGCGTATTAAATTTTTAGAGTAGCGAACGCCCCCTCTTTTTTCTCGGCTCTGTGCACAGCTAGTTCATTAGCAGAAATGAATAGCGAAGAAGTGCTCATTTAGATGGTCTGTCTTCCACGGGCTCTCACACTCCTATGTTTCTGTCATACGCTTCTAAGAATCATTGACTCTTATTACACATGTAAATGGCTATCATAAAAATAAAAATTTCATTTAAGATTCTTAATGACTTGAGCAGCAGCCTGGCCTCCCTTAATGATTACCTCTCTCCCTCATTAAGAGTATTTATCTCTCTGCGTCTCCGACTGCACCAATGATGCTTGCAGGAGGAGAAAACCTCGCGTTTACATGCGACGCTCCGCTATTACTGCAATTACCAATGATGCTCTGCAAAAACTCCGACCATTACAGACTCAAACACACACACACACACACACACACATGCCGGATAATTAAAGGGAAGTGTTCTGCTTTAGTGCAGAGGAGAATGTTCATCAGCATGAGGGGCGTGGCTTGAATAGTAATGGGCTTGTCATGTATGTGATGGGCGGGGATTTGGAAATGAAGTGGGCGGGTGTGGTAGTATCATCGACTGATGCACTCAGCAAGTGAGTTTTACCTTAAATAGTGCAAAAGCAACTATGAATTAAAAGAGAAGTGTTCTGCTTTGAAAGAGAGAAGGTTTTATTAGGCTGAGGGGCGTGGCTAGAATAAAAGTGGGCGTGTCCTGTATGTGGTGGGTGTGAATTTTAAAAACAAATGAAAAGAGACATGTTCTGCTTTAGTGGAGGGGAGAAGGTTTATTAGGATGAGGGGCGTGGCTGGAATAACAATGTGCCTGTGATGGGCGGGATTGGGAAATGAAGGGGGCGGGGCTCACAAGTATCATCGACTGATGTACTCACAAGTCGCTTTCACCTTAAATAGTGCAAAAGCAGCTATAAGTTATAAAAGAAGCATTCTGCTTTAGTGGAGGGAAGGTTTATCAAGCTGAGGGGCGTGGCTAGAATAATAGTGGGTGTGTCCTGTATGTGGGGGGTGTGGATTTTGAAAATAGTGCAAAAGCAACAAAACTGAATAAACTTTTTTTTGTTTTATTAAAAAGGAGAAGGTTTATCAGGATGAGGGGTGTGGCTTGAATAATAATGGGCGTGTCATGTATGTGATGGGCGGGGATTACAATTATCATCGGCTTATGCACTCAGCAAGTCATTTTTTACCTTAAATAGTGCAAAAGCCACTATAAATTAAAAGAGATGCGTTCTGCTTTAGTGGTGAGAAGGTTTACCAGGCTGATAGGGTGTGGCTAGAATAATAGTGGGCGTATCCTGTATGTGGTGGGTGTGGATGTTAAAAATAGTGCAAGAGCAACATTTAAAATCAGATTAAATAAGAAATGTTCTGTTTTATTAGAGAGGATACGGTTTATCAGGTTAAGGGGTGCGGCTTGAATAATGATGGGCGTGTCATGTATGTAATGGTTGCAGATTTTGAAATGAAGTGGGCGGAGCTTGGTAGAATCGTAGATTAATGCACTCAGCAATTTTTTTTTACGTTAAATAGTGCAAAAGCAACTATAAATTACAAGAGGAGCGTTCTACTTTAGTGGAGAGAAGATTTATCAAGCTGAGGGGTGTGGCTGGAGTAATAGTGGGCATGTCATATATGTGATGGGCGGGATTTGGAAATAAAGTGGGTGGGGCTCAAGTTTCATCAACTGATGTTCTCAGCAAGTCGTTTTACCTTAAATAGTGCAAAAGCAGCTATAAATTAAAAGAGAAGCGTTCTGCTTTAGTGTAGAGAAGGTTTAAGATGAGGGGCATGGCTTAAATAATAGTGGGCGTGTCCGATGTGAGATGGACAGGGAATTGGAATTGAAGTAGGTGTGGCTTGCCGTTATCGTCGACTGACTCTAACTAAACTGATTTAAAAAATGACCCATAATAAGACAGTATAAATACTGCAAGAGCATCATAAATAAATAAATAAATAAATAAATAAATAAATAAATAAATAAATAAATAAATAATTAATTAATTAAATAAATAAATAAATACAATTTTAAATAAACTAAAATAATTTATAAATAAAAATTATTGTTATTGAAAACCACTTAGAAGATATTTTATTAACTTTTTTATATAAAACAATAGAAATATTGCACGAACAAATGATTGGAGATAATCATTAATAAATGATGACAATTTAAAATAAAAGAAAATTATAAAAATACGACACAAATTAATAAATACTCTTGTTGTTAACAAAAAACATTTTTAAAAATTTCTTAAATAAATTTCAATATTTTTAATAGCTGTCATGGTAACTTGTTTCAAATCCTCATAACAAAAATAAAATGTTATACAATTATATTTGAAATTAAATTTAAAAAATCTCATCATTTATGATTATACATTAACACCATTGTGAGGATGTTGGTTTGATCACACAACTGAATGTTTAAATGTCACCCAGAAATGTTCTGTGGAGGCGTGTCTAAAAGAAGAATGGGTGTGCCTTATACAGGTGGGTGTGGTTTGTGAAATGATATGGGCAGGGCTCACCTGTACCATCGATTGACGCATTCAGCAAGTCATTTTCATGCCAAACGTTCTCTATGCCGCTGTCCTTCATGTCATCTTCATCATCCACAGTCTTCCTCAGTAGTGTGTGACTCAGAGTCGGAGAGGGCGGAGCCTCAGACTCATGATTGACAAGGCTGGCCGGACTCCCCGCCCCATTAAGCAAAGCGTCCTCCTCCGATACCAAAAGTCTGTCTTCTTCTTCCGTCTCCGATCCAGTTTCTACAACGTTCTCAAAGTCCAGCACTGTCAGAAAACACACACACAGAGACATGCAGATGATTATAGCATAAGTTGTACAAGATGCAACGTAAATTTGTGTAATTTCCTAATGCAAAAATGTTCAGATAAGTTATCAATCAGAAAAGGGGAGTGGCCAAGATACAACAAGGTGTGGATTTGATTAAATGGGTGTGTTTTAGAAAAGAGGCGTGGTTTGAGGAACTGTCTGAATACTTAATTATAATAATTTCACAGCCAAATACATTTTATTCAATGTAAATAAAGACAAATATGATGCATAAATATTTAGATATTAATAATCAAACCTTATTTTAGGTACAATTCTCACATTAATAAAGCATTAGCTATTAGTTTGGACTCCTAATTTGTTGCTTTTTAACACTGTTAAGGTAGCAGTTGGGTTTAGGCATAAGGGATTTAGAATAAAATCATAATATATGTGCTTTATGAGAACTAATAAAGCAAATATTAAAAAATATCCAACTAATAATCCACTAGTTAACAGTGAAAATTGATATTTAAAAGTGTTACTAAATTCATAAATATATAAAAACATTAAATGACTAAATAATACCTCTCACTCAGATGATCAACAGTACAGATTATAAACCAATGATCCACATATTATGCATGACTCCATTACTTTCCCTGACCACAGCCTTCCTCCAATTAGATATATTTATTACTAAGCGTGCATTGTTTAATTTTAGCCAGAGAACACACACACATGGACCCGCACACACACACACAGAGCGCAGTCTATCTTAACATTCCCTGTGGACAAAAAGATTACACTAGGCATATCTGTTCCTAACATGATCTTTGGCTAATCCACTGGTCTGCACTTGCCTCCCGAACAACTGCACAACAGGTGCAAATTAAAATGAAAACGGTGCATGTGTGTGCGTATGTGACCTGGGCTGAATACCAATTGACAGGGGAAACAAAACCTTTTCAAGAGGTGTGACCACAAGGGTTTAGGCAAGTTCAGACTGAGTAATGCTCTCGGTGAGAGAAAGAAGCCCAGAAAGCAGAAGGAGGGGAGCAAATAAGAATAGAGGAGCCAAAAGAATAAGTGAGACATTCAGGCTTGATGTGTGGTCCAGATATACCTTCAACACATCCACATTCAAAACAGCCTTCCTGAGAGCGGACGCAGGAGCCTTCCACCGTGTCTGACCTTAATAAAGGCCACTTATTTAACTGAACTAATGAACACAGTGGTTGGGTTTGTGCATATTTCACCCAATGTTGGGTTATTGAAACTAGCGCTGCATAATATATCGCTTCAGCATCGAAACTGCAGCATGCACATCAGCAATAGTCACATCGCAGGATGTGCAATGTTGAGTCTGAATTATATTTGAGAATTTTTAGCTCGTTTTTTGTCCAATTTCAAAGCAAAAATAAGATTATTTGACGTGTTTTAAGTTTAATGTCACTTCAACCTATTATTTTTGAAAGTAAAAATTAAATATTTTACTCATTTTTAAGAATTTTAAGTTATTTGGACTAGAAATGAGACAAAAAAAAAGCATTTAAGCAAATCATTTATTTATTTTTTTGCATTTTGATTATTCAATTTCTGTACCTCAATATGGAGATAGCACACTGTGAAACCCAAAAAAGTTCTGGTAACTCAAAACATTTGAGGAAACCCATTGCAACAAACCGTTTAAGTTCTGTGAACTCAATCCATTTGAGTTAACAAAGCAATTTGAGCACAGTGAAGCCCAATAAATGAAGAGAACTCAATCCAACAGAGTACTGTAAAACCCAATGACTTAAGGCAAGGCAAATAGTTTCAGAGAACCGACTGCTACAAACCATTTAAGTTAAAAAAGTAGTCTAATGAGTACTGTGAACTTACTCCATTTGAGTAAATGAAGCAATTTGAGCACAGTAAAACCCAGCAAATGAAGAGAACTCAAACCAAATGAGTACTGTAAAACCCAATATGTTGAGTCAACTCAAATAGTTTAAGGCAGGGGTCACCAAACTTGTTCCTGGAGGGCCGGTGTCCTGCAGATTTTAGCTCCAACCCTAATCAAACACACCTGAACAAGCCAATCAAGGTCTTACCAGGTTTACTTGAAACATCCAGGCAGGTGTGTTGAGGCAAGTTGGAGCTAAACCATGCAGGGACACCGGCCCTCCAGGACCGAGATTGGTGACCCCGGGTTAAAGGAAACCGATTGCTACAAACCATTTGAGTTAAAAACTAATCTATATGAGTACTGTGAACTTACTCCATTTACGTTGAATGAGGTATTTAATTAACTCATTACTTTCAACACTAAGATTCAACACTCTTTTCAAATGAGTAGAATGAACTTTCAGTCAATTTTGAGTTCACTACACTCATTTCATTTGATAAAGTTGACTGTTGGGTTTTACAATTGCATAATTCCAAATAAATATTTCACAATCCACACATAAATGTGTAGCTATTGACAAATGGCAAGCATTTTCGCAAAATAAATACGGTGAGATCCACAAATAAGGCCGTACTCACACTAAGTACAGTTGCCTCGAACCAGCCCAAAGCACGCTTGTCCCCCCTCCCGTCTCCCCGACAGCCCGCATTCACACCACAAACGGGCTTCGGCGCGCTTACGTCATCGCTGCTGCGCTGTTCAGTGAGAAGCGCTCTCTCACTCAGCAGCACAGTGGAGATTTCTCTAGTTATATCGTTTCAGTCGTTTGATATGCCGTCAAATATTTCGCCAAACAGTCCTTAGGGATGCGGTGACACGCAGTCAGATTTTTCACCGAACAGATCCGCCACTTTTGGCGCTCATAAACAATCATAAAGCCCTCGTGCTGCAGGAATGAGGAGGTCTGCTGATGGCGCGCAGCTGTGGTGCAGTGAGGGGGTTTGCGTCTTTAATAAACTACGGCAGTTTGCGTTCACTGAACAGTAAGAATTATTAATAAATCCATATGAAACAGTCCCTTAAAAGTCACGTCTCGCTTTCAGTTTCGGGCTTTGGCGTGTTTTGCACTCACACACAAGCGTACCGCGCCAAAGCTCAAGTGTACCGCGCTCATGCACACCTCTTCCAACCGGTCCAGGGCCGGCCAAGTGAACCATGCTTGAGCCCGATTCAGCACACTCACACTTCTCAAACGATCCGGGAAACGAGCCTGGGCACGGTACGGATGGCATAGTGTGAGTAGGCCCTAAGTCTGTATAAATAAATAAAAAAAGATACTCTCAATTCTATCTCTAAATACTATTACATAAAAGTGATTTGATTTAGACTCTTCAGAAAAAAAAAAAGTTAAATTGAACTAGTCAATCATCTGGTGAAACTGTATTCGTATTGCAATATATATCGATAAAATATCGAAATATCATATTATTCCAACATCGTGCATCACTAATTAAAACTCTTTTCTTTTTTTTTTTGGAGGTAATGATAGAGTTAAGGTTTTCTTCCTAAATATTGTCATGATTGCAACTTAAATAAACTTCCTTTCTGCAATAACAACACAAAGAATGATAAAAACATTACTCATAAAAGCCTCAGAGAGGCAAGCTGACTTAAAACTTTACTGATTGCACTGTAGAAATGTTTCTATCATATCTGTTGATGGGTTGACTTAATGTTTGTAATAATGCCATAGTTAATTTACCTAGAGTATAATTTTAATGCAACATACATGAGTGTAGCCTTTGTGAGCAGTTTCTGAAAAGCAAATTAATCTTACAGACCAAAAAATAAATTAAAAAATCACTTTTGACTGTCATAAACGATTATGCATGTTAAAAAAGTGCATGTTCATGAACAGGTTATGAAAATGTGTGAGAGCGAGACACCAAAGTAGAGAAGAATAGACGGAGAGAGCACTTCTCCAAAGTGAAAATGACATCTCGCGAAGTTAAAAACAAAATCCATCAACTTTCCCGCTCGCTGCTGGAAGATTGTGAAAAGGCCGATAAATAATGATGGGTTGGGTAGAACTTCAGATGGAGCAAGAAAAAAAAAGTCTGCATTGTTTGGCTGACAGACAGCCAATCACACGCCGGTATTGTGCTCTTCAACACAATAATTCCAACCTGCTAATGTCACGGCAGCCATTACAGCGATTCCTCACCTCGTCTCTAATCAGTCTTTTGTGTTTCCAGAGCGCAGACACAAAGAAACGATAATGTTTACTTGCCGGCTAACTTCTCCTCCGATGACACTCTCTATTCGGCGGCGTCTTCAGCGAGTGTCAAAGGGAACAAAGGCGATTACGGCTGCCATTCTGCCGCCGCTGATGCTGTACCTGCTCCTCTGCTTTTTGATTTCAAACAAATAAAAGGAACATCTCTCACTCCGATGCCACAGATAATTAAAATGACATTCCTAATTGGCCCAGTCACTGCTAATGTTGGGCTTAACCTACGCAGACAGGCCTGTCATTTCTGCCCGTGATAATCGCAGGGCCGCCAGAGATGGTATTGATTCCGATGGACGCTTTTTTTATACACGCAAAAAAGAAACACACTGAAAAAAGAGGAACTTATTATAACGAGAGTAAAAATGAGAAAAAAAAAAGTACTTATAAAAGACTCGGGAAGGTGAACTGACTAAAACTTTACTCACTACGCTGTAAAAAAAACTGATTCCATCAATGCTGGGTAAAATATTATCCAACAATTGGGTTTAAAATTATATTTGCGACTTTTTAGCTCGTTTCTTGTCCAATTTCAAAGCAAAAATAAGATTATTTGACTTGTTTTAAGTTTAATGTCACTTCAACCTATTATTTTTGAAAGTAAAAATTAAATATTTTACTAATTTTTAAGAATTTTAAGTTATTTGGACTAGAAATGAGACAAAAAATTTTGCAAAGCATTTAAGCAAAGCATTTATTTATTTTTTTGCATTTTGATTATTCAATTTCTGTACCTAAATATGGAGATAGCACACTGTGAAACCTAAAAAAAGTTCAGGTAACTCAAAACATTTGAGGAAACCCATTGCAACAAACCATTTAAGTTCTGTGAAAAA